TGCGCCGGTCAGTGCCTCCAGTTGGTGCTACCAGTCAGTGCCGCTTATCAGTGCCCATCATTTCCTGCATATCAGTGCATCATCCGTGCCTCCATCAATGCTACCTATCTGTGCCGTCTCATCAATGCCCATCAGTGCTGCCTATCTGTGCAGCCTCACCAACGCACATCAAAGAAGAAATATTACCTGTTTGCAAAATTTTAGAATAGAAGCAAAGGAAACCTTTTATGTTTAATTTTTTACTCTTTTTTCATTTATAGTGCAAAAAATAAAACACCCAGTGGTGATTAAATACCACCAAAAAAAGCTCTATTTGTGTGAAAAAATGATAAAAATTGCATATGGTTACAGTGTTGCATGACTGCACAATTGTCATTGTCAAGTGAAACAGCACTGAAAGCTGAAAATTGTCCTGGGCAGGAAGGGGGTAGAAGTGCCCGGTAGGCAAGTGATTAATTCCAGTGTTGGCACTTTGAAATAAAAAAGTTGGTTTTGTGTTGCAGTTTGGGCACTCGGGCTCAAAAAGGTTCGCCATCACTGGTGTAGGGCCTGCATCCATTTTGATGTGATTTGCCTTTGGGAGTGTTGCACCAAAAACTACTTTTGTTGCAAGGATTGCCAAAAATCTGATGCCTTTGTGCAGAAAATCAGTAAGCCAATCGCACAAGCAGGAAATTACATTTTCAGGGGGCTTACTGTATATAATCTGTGTACAGAACTCCAGGTTGCCATTGCATTTTACAGAAAATGAGTGCTGCAGATTAAAAAGGAAAATGTCACTAGTAATGTTCATTTACAGTAGGACTTGTGTAGCAATTGTCATATATTCTTTGTAATGTTTTTTTCCCACAAAAGTGGAGTTGTGGTGGTTTTTTTTTTTTTTTTTTAAACAAATTTTTTTTTAAGGGAATTGGTAAAGTGGGGAAAAAACTGATCTGTTTAACCACTTGAGGTACAGCATGTTAAACCCCCGTGCCCAGGTCATTTTTTTAGCTTGGTGCTGTGATATTTCTAAAATGCTGTCGAAGTTAATTTTGAACTTTTGAACTTGATGGCTTTTTTACTTGTATTACCACTAGTTTTACTGTTTAATGGTGGAAAAGATCAAAGTTTGAAAGATTCCCTTTCTTATAGAACATTGCAAATACATTTTCTCAAATCATAGCTGTAAACCCTTAAATATTTTCAGTGAAGTGACTTGTCTCAGGTGATGTGGAGATGAGAGAAACCCTCCTACATCAGTGTAGAGTCCAGAATTTACAGGTTTTTTTTTTTTTCCAAGCTTGCAGAGGCAGGGGGTGGAGATTAAATATTAGAATAGACCAGAGTATAATCTGAGACCTGAGTTGAGGGAACACACCCCTCTAGTCTCATAGGGAAACATGCACAGCAGAGGCTGTCATTCAGTCTGTGCTGGAGGCCCTGTTCTCTCTCAATGTCTTGGAGTTGTCAGAACCTGTCAAATGACTCCTGCAGATGGCAAAGGAATGAGACTGCAGACAGAAATCATTCAGTGCTTTGGATTGAGGCAAATGCAACTTTAGAAAGATATGCATTGCTAAAGTTTACAACCAGTTGAAGGTTAGAGTGTATTCTAAATTTCTTTGGTAACAAAAGCAAATAAGTGCATTTACACTGTAGTCTACAAACTATGGTATATTTGAAATGCATCTGCCATGTGTTTGACTGCCTATTGCATTCCCAAAATGCCAGGACTGTAAACGCCAAAAAACAAGTGACGCTTTTTTGACACCCTAAGGTATTTAGTAAGAGGCACATTTTTAGTAGTCACCCCAATGTTTAGTGTCATAGTATGCCTGAATTTTAGCAGAGATCACTTCATCCTCAGATTTAGAGGTGGCTGTTGAACCCGCTGTTTCTACAGGTTCATATTCTGACTCTCTCCATTGCTGTAATCAGTAATAGAGTATTTTAACTTTCTCATTAGTACACATTTACACGGACCTTTTTGGATAGTGGTTGTACTGATATTGATTCTGGCTGACCCGGGTACTAAATTCAATTTGTTGTAGCTGGTGATAAGGTTGCTAGTTTTAACACTTGTACTAAGTGACACTGTACTGGTGTGGCTGGTGATGTGGAGACTGGTATTGGCTTACACTGGTACTTGGTGACACTGAAGGTGGCAGTGTTGGGCGACTAGTACTGTGCTGGTGGCAATAAGGGCACTGATGGCTTACACTTGTACTAGTGTGGCTGGCAGTCAGGAGACTGGTGCTTGATTATACTGGAACTGGTGTGGCTGAGAGCACCCACAACCATGTACCTGGTAACATTGTTACATGTGCTGCTTGCAAATTTGATTTAAGACTTTCCCTTCATTTTCAGTTGATTGGTGTGAGGAAAGAGCCAGTTGCAAACTGCAGCTGTGATAGTTCACAGGGAATACGTGATAGAGCCAATTTGTCTCTGTACCTTCTGTATGATCAGCTCTATCCAACTGAAACCGCTAATGTAGTGCTCATGCACATTATTATTATTATACAGTATTTATAAAGCGCCAATAGTTCACTAAGCGCTGTACATGCAAGTTTTTACATAAAAGTGCTCTGGCCTTCAGTCCACCCACAACGGGTGGATGGCATGTGGTTAATATATGAAATGTTCCTTAGCTAATTGGACCCCCAGTTCATTTGGCAGGTAAACACTTGAAATATATATTTCAGCTATGCATGTAGTCCTATCACTGGTGTTGCCTTTACCCTGATACAAATAGTCTTTGCTTAAACAAGTACATTTTTAATTTTCTTTAAAATTCAAAAGTAATCTATATCTTAGTTTCTGCAAATCATTATCCTGTGCTTACTCATGCTTTCTGCTGTCATGATAAAGGCATGATGTAGACAGCTGATGGCAGACTTGCAGAAATCAGCTGACAGCATGCACCAGCAGTAGATGAAAGGCTGTTCTCTGTAAAGGCAGAAATAAAACTTCACATAATGGAAAGGTGGGAGGATCAATGGTAACAATTTTCCAATGCGTAAACTCCTGCGTTGTAACACATTTTTATTTACAAATATATGTAAATAAAAATGTGTTCCAATGCAAGAATTTATGCATTGGAAAATTAGTAAATAAACCCATAGTATTAGGAATTAACAAAGCTGGAGAGTGCAAAATCAGGTGCTCTTCTGCATAGAAACCAATTAGCTTTCAGGTTTTATTGCCAAAGCTTAATTGAGTAAGCTGAGGTTAGAAGCTGATTGGCTACCGTGCACCAGGTTCTGGGTGAACAAGGAGAGAAACGGTGCCTCTGTAGACTTTTACTTCAAAAGCTTTTTATTTAAAATAAGTTTGACAATTAAATCCCATTTTAAATTTAAAAAAAAATTTTTTTTTTCATCCACCCTGTATACAAGTGTAAAACAAAAAATGGCAAGATAAACAAAGTAAGCAGATATGTTGAATGAGGGAAAAAAAGCAGCAACAGACCCTAATATCGTATAGATATAATTGTATAGAATGATGACAACATCCAATTGAAGAAAAAGCCTTTGGTATTGCCCCACCTTGTCCATATAAGTCTCTCCAACCACGTCAACTAGTAGTTTGAAAAGGGAACACATGTTTTTCAGCTGACATTGAAGTGATAGAGGTTCCGGCCGGACTTCCTCATCCCACACCTGCCACTTTACCTGGTTCTTCCCCAGCGTCCACTTGTGGAGACATGGCGGTTGCGGCATCATTGCTTGATTCATGAGCCTGTTACAATATTTTGTGGCTTGCCTGATTTTAGCTTTATTAAAGTTGTCTGACGTCTACACCTTGTCACGGTTACTTATTTCAGGGCCAGCTTCTACTCTCAACCACAGCTTTCTTACAGTGGATGGACTTTTTATACCCCATACTGTTTTTGTTTTTTTGTTTTTCTGTACCCCAAACCAATTTGTATGGGTTATAGGACTACCTTTATAGGTTTTAAAGCCAGAAACTTGCATACTTTGGCAAATTTCTTGCCTGCTGCCCCATAGCAGATGTACTGTTACAGGGTGGCTTCACTGGGCAGAATCACGTAAATCTACTTTATTTTGCATTTCTGGATAGGGGGCATGTGACACCCTACCCGCGCTGCTATTGGCTTCTGAGTATGTCAATAACTGGGTCCCGAATGGCGTGTGGTTTTTTGGCTGGGACTCTGTGTAGAAAGTAGCAGGTCTGCTTAGTAAAACACAAAGTTCACAAACGCTCCCTAACCGTTAACCCTTTGATTGCTTCAGATGTTAACTCCTTCCTGCCCAGTATTGGTGCTTTTTATTAGCACTGATCATTGTATTTGTGTCACTGGAGATGTCAGTTCCCACCAAGTTGCAGATTGCCCACTGTAAGTAGCTGATCGCTGCCGTAACTAGTATTAACAGAAAAAAAAAAATCGATAGAGATTATTGGGTTTTTTTTTTCTTGGCAAAGACACATAGCAGAATACATTTTGACCTAAATTTTATTTTATTGGATGCCTTATTGCAAAAAGTAAATTGTGTGCATTCAAAATTGTCAGTCTTTGTTTATAGTGCAAACCATAAAACCATAGTTTTAATCAGATACCGAAAGCTCTTTTTGGGGAAAAGACATCCATATAATGTATGTACAGCATTGCATGACCGTGCAATTGTCAGTTAAAGTAACGCAGTGCTGCAGTGCAAAAATGGGCCTGGTCAGGGAGGAGGGTAAATCTTCTGGAGGGCAAGTGGTTAATGGGTTTTGAGCAACAGAATTTCAGTTTGCAGGTGAATTATGGTTTTCATTAAGACTAGCACATTAGGTCTGTCTGTATGAGCTTGGTCCAGGGAAGGGAGCACAAATGCTAGAATATGAACAGGTTGAGGGAAAACTGAGAACGTGGAATCCTTTTTCTGGCGTATTCAAGCTTGGTCATTGTTTTTCACTCAAGTGGAATAGATTCTTTGATTTTTGTCTACTGAAATGTTTAAGATGTAAAATTACTCAAATTACCTATAAAAATTGCGCAACTCTCTTTGCAGGTGGTCGGCAGAAAAATATTTATCCATTTAGTGACGATGATTCCTCACTTGAAACCATGAGCCAGTGCAGTAGTTTTAGTGACGCTGCCAGCTATCAAGAGGATGGTGAGTTCTAATACTGATTAATTACCAGGTCTTTAGTCTTTAAACTGTCAGATTTAAAATGTATGGAAACCATTTAGTCTTCTGACATATTTTGCTTTGTTGAGCCACACACCCTTGCTACACTACAAAGCTGTGGAGACCCTACTTTATTATAGTAAGCAATAGCGGTGTCATGTCTGCTCCAGCCTGTTCAAACCATGATAGACCCACAGTGTTATTGAGGCCATCCCTCTAAACAAAGCTGCGAATGCATTTCAATGTGTTTGCTAGTCTGCACAATATTGATCCTTCCTAGTGCAAGCATGGTATAATGCTTCATTACCAGCACAGAGGCATAAAGAGGGGCATGGCTCATGTCTGGCACCTACAGTATGTAAATCTGATACTCTGCCATCTTGATTGGTATGAAATTTGATTTTCCAAAGATGGTGGCAGCAGTAGGAGTTTTAGCATAGCTGCATTATGGCTAAACAAAATGGTATGACAAGCACTTGGTAGCTAACTTGGTGATCTTTCAATGTCGGTGGAAAAACACTATAGAGTACAGACTTTAATTTCCAGTTGACGGGATGGTTAAATATGCTCACGAATACTATTAGCACTGCCTTGTCTGTTGCCGCTCCTGAAGTAGACTTCGGGGGTAGGACAGGCCCAGCAAATTAAAGAGCTGTGTGAAAGGTATATGCATACAGGGAGCAACTAATGTGGTGTATTTCTGGTTAGGCATTTTTGGGGATGTGATTTCATGTTGGGAAATACTGATTACAGCAATAATCTGGGGATATTTTATGCATATCTGCTTTATAAAGTTTGGTTCTGTGAAAGATCACTTAAACAATCTATCTCAAACAGGTGCTGAAGTTGATGAAATAGCAGCTCAGGAAGACTTTGAGTTCAAATTAAAGGGTCTTATTGATCTTACAATGGACAAAAGGTATATATACCAATTGTGTTAATGTTTTGTTTGGAGGGGAGTAGATTTTAGGCTTCTAGATGCATAGTCTCTAAAATGGGTGCGTAGTGTTTATCTAGTGGACTTTTTTCTTAACTGCTTCCTGACAGCCCTATAGCAGAAATACTGCTACTACAGGGCGGCACAGGTGCATAAAATCGTGTGTTTGCATTTCCAGGTAGGGGGTGCGGCTGTCACTAATTACTTGCCAGCACCCAGTGATTACTGAGGATATTGGTGTCACTGGGGATGTCGGTGACAGAGTCCCCCCAGTGTCAGAATGCCCACTGCAGTTCCACTATAAGTTGCTGATCGCTGCCATTACTAATAAAAAAAAAAATACCAGTGTGTATATATACCGCCATTTGTAAACGGTATAACTCATGTAAACCAATTATTTAAATGTATTGGATTTTTTTTAGCAAATACATGTAGCAGAATACATTTTGGCCTAAATTTATGACTGAACTTTGATTTAACAAAAATAAAAATTTTTACTGGACATGTTTCATAGTAAAGTCAAAAAGATATATATATTTTTTTTCCCCCAAAATTGTTTTATAGAGTAAAAAATACAGCACAGGTGATCACGTACCACCGTAAAAGTTCAATTCATGGAAAGAAAGGATGTAAATTTTAGTGTGGGCGCAGCATTGCAAGACCGCGTAATAGTCAAAGTAATGCAGCGCTGTAAAGCAAAAAAGCCTGGTCAGGTAGTGGGGTAAATCCTCAGGCAGGCAAGTGGTTAAATGTGTGGTTTTTTTTTTTTTTTTTGTAGCAATGTCAGGATTAATAATCAAGGCATATTGCTGTTTACACTAGTAAAGGGCATTAATACACTTGTAGAGGAATGTAATTTGTATAACAAAGTATTTTCTATCTGCAATATATTGTATTTTTCAGTGCAAAGACAAGGCAAACTGCTCTAGAAGGCTTAAAGAATGGTTTGGCTTCCAAAATATTAAATGACTTCATCTTAGAAAGAAGGCTAACAATCACAGATAGTATTGAGCGCTGCCTAAAGAAAGGTATGTAGTATTCTAGTTGCTTCAGTGGTTTTTTAATAGTATTTTTTGTTGTATAAATGCAGCCTAAAGAAAGTGGTAATTCCAATTTCGTGCTGTTTTTGGTGCATTAGTAGTACTTCACATGGGAAATGCCACACTACTACTTCCTAGTACTTATACCAATTTTCAAGTGCTATAATAAACCAATAACATAGTTCACATAATTGCCGTGTTATTACCCAATACCTACACCACTGAGGAAGATGTGATTTTGTGACGTATGACGAAGTCAGATGACTTGTTAACCAGGAAGTGATGGGATGCACAATCCAGAGCCGTGTAGATCACAGGTAGGACCAAGGGAATGACATTCATTAGAGAATGTCTGCTGTGCACCTATAAATGTCTTGTGGTTTTTTTTGGTGAGTTTTAATGTCACACTATGTGGTTGACTGTCGTGGGCTGCACTGGCCCCCACCAGATAGTTGAGGAAAACTGCAGGATTCATTCCCTTAAAGGGCATGTGCGCGGTTATTTGGCTTGCATAATAGTACATTTGATATGCATGCTGTGTTTGAAGAGAATTTCCACCATGATGGGCAATATTTGAAATTGTCACTTGCTCTGCTTTTTGCAGTTTATATTTTTGTAGATAGTTTGACAACTTACACAGCTGTAGCAATTAGGGTTACATCAGGTTATTTGCATGGTTATAGCCCTTACAAATTGGTTGATATAAATAGTAGGAAATAGTGCAGCACTTATTCTACTCTTGCACCTGTTTACCTGGAAATACTGGACATTTGCACATGTATTTGTGTATTAAATTTCCAGCATGGACAGTATTTGAAAATGTATTTCAGTTTTGTAAATGTGCATATCCTATCATGCATTTACGTTGGCATTTAACAGTGGTTCTGTGGATAATAGCAGCACGACACTTAATTACTGCATTGATTTGAAGTGTGAGAGCACATGAATGCCAGCTGGCTGCACTAGTATTTTTACTGAGTATACTTGGGTGTTTTACCCGCATTGCCAGATTCCAGCAGCGAGAATCTGTCAGATGCATCCAGGCTCAGACGTCTATCCCTAACAAGCAGGTAACTGCTTGGTGTGTAACTATATATGTAAACGTCAATGACCACTAACAGCCTAACTTTACTTTGTACAGGCTGAACGGCTGCCGCCATTCACTTGCACTTGTTTCAGCCACAAGAATCCACTGATTCTTGCTGCGGGAATCCAGTTTATTTGGGTAAAAGCCTGCATGGTCTTAAAGCAGAACTTGTACCAAAAACACAAGGTCTGCTAATTTACAGCGTTTCCCTCCCTTTTACAAATAACTAAACTCTATAGGGAAGAAAATTATGAAATCCTTTCCATGGCTTCCCATGCCTATTGCACTTGCATATGGGTGACGTGTCCCTTTCAGCAAAAGCCAAGCAATGTGCAGTAGCCCAAACCTCTTGCACACATTCCCATGCGGAGTGGTCTCTGGGATTTGGGATTCCATCAGAGCATGGCATACCCCTCTGCAAAAAAGCCCCAGCTTTATAGTGCAATTGGGGGGGGGGGGGGGGGGGTTAGAGAAGTTAATAGGTGGACCTTGTCTATAGTGCAAGGTCTGCTTTAAATGGTGATGTTTCTCATCTATTTTTTCCTCCTGCATTGACATACTGTTTTTTTTTTTTTTTTTTTTTTCCCTTCTAGGAAAAGGTGAAGAGCAGCGTATAGCAGCAGCTCTAGCCTGCCTCCTTTGCTGCCAGCTTGGCTCTGGCAATGAAAGCGAAGAGGTGTTCAAAACCTTGGCTCCAACTCTAAAGACCATTGTTTGTGACAGAAGTGCAAGTACCCAGGCACGGCAGGCTGTAAGTACTTGTACACATTTGAGTGGTAGTAAACCAAAAATGTAATATATTGCAGCTTGCCAATCAGATGTTACACACCACTGTGGATGTATGAACACGGGTCAGATTTGAACAGTAGCATTGTCAGTTTGTGGGAGGGGAGTGTTAGAAGTAGTAGTAGTTTTAAATACAGTAACACATTGAATCTGAGCTCCAGCTAATAATTTTGATTGGTAAACCTTTTTTTTTTTTTTTTTTTTTTTGATAAAGGTTTTACATGAGAGCCAATTATTTTAGGTACTCTTGTCCGTGTTAAATGGTCTTATTCCTGTAACTGCAAGAGCACTTATGTTGAAAATCTAACTTACTGGCTGGATCACCAGATCAACATAGATGTGATGGCTGCATTAGTTTCGTTTTGGGCTTTCTTCTAAGACTTGGTAAACTGCAATATGTACAGCAGGTAATAAAAGTATTGAACAAGTGGCCATTTTTCTACGTAAAAATATTTCTAAAGGTGCTATTGACATGAATTTTTCACCATGTCAGTAACTAGCCATGCAGTCTATACATACAAAGAAATCAAAACAAAGTTCAGAAATTACGTTGTGTAAAAAATAAAATGACACGGGGAAAAAAAATTGAACAGAGTGGGAGGTGCAAAAATGCATGCCCCTTGTCAGTGAAAATTAATATCAGCTGGTTCAGTCTCAACTGATGGCCTGAAAAAAGGTATCTCATTACCAAGGTGTTACAAACCTCTTATAATGGGTAAAAGCAAGGGCTCTGTTGACTGGCATTGGTTACAGAAGGATTTCTAAACTTCTTAATGTTCCAGTGAGCACTGTTGGGGCCATAATCTTGAAGTGGAAAACATCCTTTCACCATAAACCGGCTACATCAGGTGTTCCTCGCAAGGTTTCTGACAGGAGTGAAAAGAATTCAGAGGAGTTGTCCAAGAGCCAAGGACTACTTGTGGAGAGCTTCAGGAAGACCTAGAATTAGCAGGTACGATTGATTCAAAGAAAACCATAAGTAATGCACTCAACTGCCATGGCCTGTATGCACGCTCACCATGCAAGACTCAATTACTGAAGAAATAGCATGTTGAAGCTCGCAAAGTTTGTGCGCGCCATTTAGACAATCCTGGGAGACTATAGTCTGGTCAGATGAGACCAAAACGGAACTCTTTGGATACCCTAATATAAACCATGTTTGGGAGGTCAAATGGCACTGCACATCACACCATACCAACAGTGAAGTTTGGAGGTAGGAAACGCACAACTGGTCTCAAGGAAAATAAAGCTGCTAGAATGGCCCAGCTAATCACCTAACTTTAATCTAATAGAAAATCTATGGAAAGAACTATGGAAGATCAGAGTTCATAGAAGAGGCCCATGGAACCTTCAACATGTGAGGATCATGTGTGGAAGAATGGGCCAAAATCACACCTGAGCAATGCATGCAATAAGTTTCTCTGTACAGGAGGAGTCGAAGCTGTCGTACAAAATCCTTTATTGGTAAAGTATTAAATTTTAGTTGGCGTGTTCAATACATTTTCCCTGTCATTCGATTTTATTACACGTAACTTGATTTCTGTTTTTTTTATTTTTGTATGTATGGGTTGTTAGACGTGGTGAAAATCATGTCAATAGCACCTTTTTAGAAATATTTACCTAGAAAAATTGTGACAATACTTACCTGCTCTTTGCTTTTGGGTTCAATACTGCTGTATTAGATTTTAGAAAGAATCCTGTTTCAGAGATTAATTTCAAGTACTACTTTTTGCACAACTTGGTAAACATCATGGTAGTTTTATCTATAAAGATGACCAATATCTGTGCACAGGCCAACATTGTTTTTCAATAGCCTTATCACCAATTTAGACAGGTAGACCGGCTTCTTTAATTGTGGAATGGAATTGCCTATAAAGTGTTGAACGGGGTCTGTCTACCTAACTCTTCTGTCATGGGAGGAAACATTTCTTCAGCTCCCATGAAGCTTGCATAGCTTCAGAAAAAAAGCCCCTGCTCATTCATTTTAAACATGGTTGAGGCATTGCAAAATTCAAAAATAAAATAAAACCTGTCCCCCTTCACCTAAGGTGAGACCTTTAATTGTCATGACATCCATGAAAGAAATTGTTTACCCCTTTTTACACTGCATTACCTCATGTGCAGCAGCAAAAAAGCTGACCTTTTAACCTGCCCTCCAGAGGATTTACAACCCCCCACCCCCCCCCCCCCCCTTCCTGACCAGGCCATTTTTTGCGTTCCTTTAACTGACAATTGTGCGGTCATGCAACGCCGCACCCAAATTAAAAAATGTATTCCCACGAATAGAGCTTTCAGTTGTGGTTTTTTTTTTTTTTTGCTCTAAAAAAAAAAACATTTTGAGAAGCAGTATTTTACTTTTTGCGATTGAATGTCCAATAAAAAAATTTAATGAAATTTCATAAATGTAGGCCAAAATGTATTCTGCTACATGTCTTTTGCTTAAAAAATGTCCCAATACATGTAAATTGGTTTACATGAAAGTTAGTGTTTACAAATGGCTGTATGGGCGAACAACAGCTGCGGCAGGCATTCTGACACTGGGGGGGAAATTACTTGGTGTCAGACATCCCCAGTGACACCAATACAGTGATCAGTGCTAATGGAAAGCACTGACACTGTACTAATGGCACTGGGCAGGAAGGGGTTAACGTGGGGTGGTCAAGGGTTTACTGTGTGACAGTTTACATTATGTCCTGTAAGCACACTGCTTTGCATTACTGAGCTATACACAGCCATGCAAAGCAGTGTGTAGGAGCTGACTTTTTTTGGTATGTGTATTTTTGCACACCTGTGCTGCCCTGTAGCAGTACTTCTGCTATAGGGCGGACGGGAAGCTGTTAACGCTCAGCTCACCCTGTCCACTGGACAGATGAGGCTAAAAGCCACTCTGTCCGGAGAAGACATCCATAGCTTGCAGGACTGGCTTCTGATCATGTGACCACTGTGACAAGCTGATCACTGTTCACATGGTCGCCGATCCTTCCTACCCCCGAGCGTTCTTTGAAAGATGGTGCTAGGTGGGTGGGAAAGGGTTAACATACATTTCTATTTAACCTTTTGTCACTCAATTGACACTAATGAACTTCTTCCTCACTTGAACTGCTATTTCTGATTTGTTCATTTGTGTGGTTGTATTTTTTTTTTTTTTTTTTTTTTTTTTTTTCCCCTGGGACATTAAAGTGCAAAAACTTTTTAGCTACAAAATAACTTTGCCATGCGTTTTGTACCAGAAGCCTTATTTTAGTATAATTTTAACCACCCCCCGCCCGCCATATAGTAATATGACGGCCGCAAGGTGGGTTCTGGGATTACGTCATATGACGTCCTCCCATTCTAATCGCACATGCGCAGCAATCAATGGTGCGCTGTGCCCCTCGGCCAAAGATGCCGGCTCGGTCATGTGATCAGCTGTGTCCAATCACAGCTGATCACATGTAAACAGGGAAATGCCAGTTATCTGCATTTTTCTCCTCTCGAGCTGTGATTGACAGCTCAAGAGGAGAGCCAGTAATCAGCATTCTGCGGAGGGGACATGTACACTGATCATCAAATCACTGATGATCAGTGTGCCCTGATGATCAGTGTAGCCTCAGCAGTGCCACCTGTCAGTGTCCATCAATGCTGCCTCATTAGCGCACATCAGTGAAGAAAAATCACTTATTTACAAAATTTTATAACAAAAACAAACTTTTTTTTTTTTTTTTTTCAAAATTCAGTGGTTTTTGGTTTAAGAAAAAAATAAAAAAAAACCCCCAGAGGTGATTAAATACCACCAAAATAAAGCTCTATCTTATCTGTCACAAACAAATGATAAATTTCATATGGGTACAGTGTTGCATGACTGCAATTTTCATTCAAAGTGCAATAGCGATTAAAGCTGGAAATTGACCTGGGCAGGAAGGGGTATAAGTAAGTGCCCTGTAGGCTTGTGGTTAAATAGGACAGATTATAGAACAAAATGTGAGCATGCACAACTATAAAAACACTAGTCAAAATAGTGTCTGTAAATGACATACTTAGATTTTGCAAAACTATATTGCTGGAAAGCTCACCCCCCCATAAGTGTAATTAGGTGAAGTAGTTGTCTATATTAAATCTTACTCTGGGCTGTTAAAAATTGTACATGGTTTAAATCTCATCTTTTTCTCAACAGTGTGCTACATACTTGGGCCTCTGCTGCTTTATTGCTGCCGATGACATAGAGGTAATAAGGCTGACCACCAGCTAAATTAAATATTTTCAACTGATAAATTTCCTTTGCTTAAAGTTTTTTTTTTTTTTTTTATTGACTAGGACTTGTATGGAACAATGGAGTGTTTGGAAAACCTCTTCACGAAGCAATATCGTTCTGAAGGTGGGGCTGATAGCTGTTCAGCACTTCACATCCAAGCTCTCCAATCATGGACCCTTTTGCTAACCATCTGTCATACAAGTGAAGCAAAGAAGAAAATAGACATGTAGGTAACACTGGTTGATTTTAACTTTAGAAATGGCCTGTTTATCTAGATGAGAACAAATGGATTAGTTTGCTGCTTGGAATTGTTCTTTAGAGCTGCTTTGCTGCAAAGGTTTATATTTGTAAGTAGTCTTTTAAAATGCCAAATTGGTTACTTTCTATTTGCCACTCTTGTAGACATCTACCGAAACTTCCACGACTGCTTTCCTGCGAGGATGTAAACATGAGAATTACAGCTGGGGAAACACTGGCTGTTCTGTTTGAAATTGCGCGAGAAGCGGATGCAGTAAGTGTTTTTTTGGGCTATTAATAGTTGTATTTATGGACAGTTTTCAGATTTCAGTGGATAATTCAGGGTCTGAGTTTACACCCACATTTTGGTTTGTCCATGGATATTTGTAGCATGCGATTGATATCTACAACACTTTGTAGAGGGTTACTGAGTATTTATGAACCTAGTACATTGTGTAGACCTGTAAAGAAACTGCCATGGCAATATAACTCAAATGAGTCTGTCCTGTTTTTTTAAATTGCAACTTAGACTTTTTTGGGTCATATCCACTTATATGGATATGAAGAAGCATGTGACAGTGTTGGAAGTCCAAAGCCTTGTGTGAACTAGGACTTCAGCACCATGTAGCTCTTTGGGCTTTGCCTTCACTCCTGGAGTAGTGAAAGTAAAGTGTAGGCTTCTGGTTAACCACTTGAGCACCAGAGGATTTACCCCCCCTTAATGACCAGGCCTCTTTTTGCTACTCGGCGCTGCACTAATTCAACTGATAATTGCGCGGTCATGCAATGCTGCACCCAAACAAAATTTACGTCCTTTTTTTCACACAAATAGAGCTTTCTTTCGGTGTAATTTGATCACCTGTGCGCTTTTTATTTTTCGCGCTATAAAAAAAAAAGGCCAAAAATTTTGAAGAAAAACAATATTTTTTACTTTCAGCTATAAAAAAATATATAGTAAACTCAAAGTTGGTTATAAATTTAGGCCAAAATGTATTCTGCTCCATGTTTTTGGTAAAAAAAATCCCAATAAGTGTATATTGATTGCTTTGTGTGAAAGTTATACCGTCTACAAACTATGGTATAAATACTGCAATTTACGCCATTTTTCTGCTATACAGCGCTGCGCTAGTTTAACGGACAATTGCGCGGTCATGCAATACGGTACATAAATGAAATTTACATCCTTTTTTTCCCCACAAATTGAGCTTTCTTTCGGTGGTATTTGATCGCCTGTGCAGTTTTTATTTTTTGCGCTATAAAAACAAAGGCTGACAATTTTGAGGAAAAAAAAAAATATTTTGGACTTTTTGCTATAAAACATGTCCAGTAAAAAAAAAAAAATGCAAAAATCAAATTTAGTCATAAATTTCTGCCAAAATTGCATTCTGCGACATGTCTTTGCTAAAAAAAAAATCCCAATACGTGCAAATTGGTTTACGTGAAAGTTATAGCATTTACAAATGGCGGGAAAGATACTGGAATTTTAAATTTTTATTTATACTAATGGCGCCGATCAGCGACTTTTGGCGGCAATCAGCGACATATCAGCGACTTATGGCAGGACTGCGGGATAGCGGCGGACATTTTGACACGGGGGGGGACTGACTTGGGGTCACTGACATCCCCAGTGACACCAATACAGTGATCAGTGAAAAGAAAAAAACACTGAAACTGTACTAATGTCACTGGGGAGGAAGGGGTTAACATTTTTAGAATTTGCAGTGTAAGGGGAGTGTTTTACTAGGGGGCGGGGGGGGTGTGTACTGGACGGGGGAAGGGAGGGGGGAGCTGATCGAGGGAGAGAAACTGCAGCTTCTCACAAGCTGTCAGAGAACGGACACAGAACAGGGCTGTGTGTAAACAATGCAGCCCTGCTCTGTGTTAGCGATCACCGGCAATCGCGGGAAAACGGCCGGTAAAAAACGGCTGTGACCCGTCGGCTGACACCCGCGGGACAGGTAGGGGGGCGGGCGCGCGCCTCGCATGCGCCCCCTACCTGTTTTGAAGGCAGCCGTTTTAAAACTTGCTTTTGCCTACGAGCGCCGCCCTACCACTGTTTATATGCGGTGGCTGGGCGGCAAGTGGTTAAGTCTGCATTAAAGTGAGCCTGTTGCTCTCTGCCGTGTATGGGAAGGACACAGATTTACTTGAGTTGGGCACTGGGAGCTGCTGTTTGCACTGCTTTTCAAAATTATCTGTTGACTGTTCACCTTCTGAGGGACTTTGCGCTGACATCTACTCTGTGGCACTTTTTCCTGCCATTCAGTATAAAGCAGTGGTCTTCAAACTGTGGCCCGGGGGCAGATTTTTCTTGCCTTTATTTGGCCCTCGGTGCACTTTTTTTCATCCAACTGATACAATTGCTACAACCAATTGCCGCTACTGATGTCAATGAGGCATTATTTATACCATTGACACCAATGATGGGGCACTATTCCTCCCACTGACACCATTGATTAGGCATCCCCCCCCCCCCCCCCCCCCCCCACGAACACCAACAATAGGACACTATTCCTACTGCTCACACCAATGATGGGGCACTATTCCCCCCCCCCCCAATGAAACCAACTGTAGGACACTATTCCTCCCACTAACACCATTGATGGGGCACTATTCCTGTCACTGACACACCCAACAATAGGACACTATTCCTGCCACTGTTCACCAGTTTGGCACTATTCCTCCCACTTACACTAATGAAGGGGTGCGATTCCTCCCCCTAATAACAAAAATGTATTTACTTCCACTGATGCCGGGACAATTTCTACTCCCAATGGCCATAGTCCGGCCCCTGAAAATCTGATGGACCGTAAACTGGCCCTATGTTTAGAAAGTTTGTATACCGCTGGTGTAGAGGAAGCATCCTGTTCCTGCCTTGCAGAAGAGCAACTTGGAACTCTGATCTACAATCCATGCTATTCTTACTGTCTGCCTACAGTGACTCCAATCACCTCCTGGTCTTTTCGGCCTCCAGCTAAGGCCTTGTCTGATACCTTGATACCTAATTGTTTCACTGTCACATGGTTGCAAAGGTCTGTATCCAGACATAGGGAAAAGTCCTGTCTCTGCTACAGGTGAGCCCAGCTAACTCCTACTTTTTTTTTTTTTTTTTTTTTGGAAATGTTTACCCTGAGGACACTAGTGTCTGGAATCTAGCAAACCCTATGGATATAGGGCCCAACCCATAGCAACCCTCTAATTCCATTGTCAGGGATTTCTATTGTATTCATAGATGACTGACCAAATTCACCCTCTTCCTCAGATAATGACTGTAAAGACAAATGTTGTTCCGCACCTTCAGCAAAGTCTCCCCTCAGCTTTTGAGTAGCGTGGACCGTTGGTTACAGTGACTATTTCTGACTTGGTTCGAAGTCTCCGTCCAATGGAGACCTTTTTTTTAAGAAGACACCTGTCTCCCGTCATTACCTCAGAGTGAAGAGACCATTGAGTCCCTTGGGCGTAACCCATTGTTAGGTTGTAAGTGTCATTTTCCAATGCTGGAACCCATGTATTTCCATGTTGGAAAGGTCCACAGCAGGTTTGCTTTCTACTAATGTTACCCCTCTTTAAGGTGAATTTGTTCAAACTCCTGGTGCTCCTGCAGATGTTTAACTTTCTCTCATTACTTCCTGGTCCTTTTTAGCTCCCATCTCGGCTGTTTTGGCTCTAGTTTTTGAGCAGGTTGGGCCAGGCACTCTAATGTTACTCTTCACTACGGGGTTTCTATCATAAGATGTTTTCTAGTCTCCCAGAAGTAGTTCCTTCTACATCTTGGGAACCCTTTTTGGGGCTGTTTTTTACCATGCAAGTTTTGTATGTAGGTACAATGCATTTCCATCCAAGGTCCTCATGTGTTTGGTTACTGTTGCTTTAATTCCCAGTCACTGATGCAAGTCATTTTTGTAGGGTCCATTCATACCAGGCACCGCTTTAGAACGCAATGGTCTGTGCGGTCTTCTGGCTAATATTGCCGCTCTCTACTGCACTTCCCACCCCCACCCCCTCTTAATTTAAATTGGCTGCAGTGCAAGGCGATTCCTCACTCTGCAGTGCACAGAATAGTGCATACTTCCTGCAACCACCACAAACGCAGTGGTGTGAATCAGGCACAGACGAGTAATTTTGCCTTATGCGGTGGGACTGTGCTTGAGTATCCAGTCCGCGCAGTCCCAGTCCCACCGTATCTGGTGTGAATGGACCCTTAGTTTGTCCCCTGGGGAGTGTGCCATATTAATTTACAAGGAATAACGCTGAATTTTCCTTACTAATGGTTTTAAATAAAATGGGCTTTAGTTCATTAAAGACTTTATTGCACCAAAGTTGGCAAGGTTGTTATATTTACTGCACGTGGTACAGTATTGCATTTTGTATGAAAGATTGCATTATTATACAGTATTTGTATAGCGCCAGAAGGTTTGCTCAGCGCTGTACATTATAGTGGGGGACAGTGCATGAGACAATACAGTAACAAAATACACCAGGAGTTCGAGGGCCCTGCTCTTTCGAGCTTACAATCTAGGAGGGAGGGGAAAGTGGTACAGGAGGAAGTGGCTGTGGGGGATGGAGTGGTAGGAGGAGTGGAGGAGATCGGCAGTTAGGTGAGGGTGGGGTAGGCTTCCCTGAAGAGATGGGTTTTCAGGGTGCGCCTAAAGGTGAGGAGGGTAGGTGACAGTCTGATGGATGGGGGGTAGTGAGTTCCAGAGGACGGGGGAAGTCCTGGAGAAGTCCTGCAGTCGGGCGTGGGAGGTGGAGACCAGGGAGCTAGAAAGTAGGTCTTGTGAGGAGTGACTATTACGGGTTGGGTGGTATTTGGGTATCAGATCGGTGAGGTAGTTTGGGGTAGCATTATGAATGGCTTTGTATGTCAGTGTTAGTAGTTTGAATTTGATGCGTTGGGCAATCGGAAGCCAATGGAGGGAATGTCGGGGGGGGATGGCAGAAGAGTGGTTGGTAAGGTGGATGAGTCTGGCCGCTAAGTTCAGGATAGACTGAAGCGGGGATAGTCTGTGATGAGGTAGGCCGGTGAGGGAGTTGCGGTAGTCCAGGCGTGAGATAATGAGGGAGTGAATGAGTTTAGTAGTGTCTGGGGTTAGGAACATACATATTTTGGAGATGTTACGGAGGTGGAGCCTGCATGAGCTTGCTAGCGATTGGACATGGGGTTGGAAGGACAGGTTTGAATCTAGAGTGACACCTAGGACTTTGGCTTGCGGGGTGCGACTGGTGGCGTTGGCCGTGATGGAGAAGGTGGGGGGGGGGCGCGTGCTGGGGGGA